TAACCTTTATCCATAACTCTGTTTCTCAGTACATTCGGGGGCTTTGAAAAAGTAAGATCGAGCTTTAAGAAGTATCGAGCTTAAAAAACTGATAAATGGTTTTTCAAAGTAAGGGAAATGGCTCTAATGTTGGCTTATGGATCTAAGATTGGGCCCATCGCTAAAAACATGCTATTTATCAATTTTAGCCTCATTGGGACGGTACTAATGGATATTTTCGGTCGCTATTGAAAATTTAGTCGATTGCTGAATTTATGTATGGGCCCAAATTAGGGGCATTTAGACCGACGTTACATCCATTTCCCCTATCTCAAAAGATAAATGATTTGTTTTGTTTAGTTGAAGATGCTAATTTCAAATAACAGACTGTAGTGGTAATTTTTATACGATAGATGGAGTAGATGAAAGCATAGTGTTGATAGTTCCGTTACAGTACGGCAGTGTGAAGATTGTATATAGATATTAGAATAGCGAGCTAGGACAACTTTTAAGGAAGGTACAAATCGGTTTTTTCATCTCTCTTTACCAAACTCCTCCTTTGGAGAGGGATGGTGAGGGGTGTCCCCCCCCCCCCCCCCGCCACCACTGGCAAAAAGAGATGAAAACCGACTCGCATTTGTACCTTCCTTAAAAGTTGTCCTAGCTCGCTATTCTAATATCTATATACAATCTTCACACTGCCGTACTCTAACGGAACTATCAACTCTATGCTTTCATCTACTCCATCTATCGTATAAAAATTACCACTACAGTCTGTTATTTGAAATTAGCATCTTCAACTATGTAAATCGTTGACTTCACGTAGAAGCCTAATACTAAAAACATATAGTCAAAGATTTGTTTTGATTAAATTTAGTCTAATAGAGCTGAATTGTACTTTCAGCTTTAAACAACACGTAGTACTATGAAAGCAGATTGCAGTTTATGTTTTTCTCGTAGATTTTTTCCCCAGAACTCCCGTGGAATGAGATTCTTAGAAATTATAATAAAATTCCATGAGCCTGTTCAAGGAATATGACTCCAGATTATTGAAAATTTGTTGAAGTATTATAACTTTTCAGTTCATAATTTCTAAATTTATGTATTTGTTACTGAATATTGATGCATTCTGGAACTATAAAGTTCAATGTGTGAATGAAAATAACTAGGAATATTAAATGTTTTTATTTTAAAATGCATTCTTAGTTAGAAAATTATTTAATTTCCTGAGAAATGATAAGATTCCCTGATACTTCCAGGTATTTTCAGGAAAAATAAGATTCCCTGCGAATTCCCGGTTTTTCGTGTTTTTTTCAGGTAGTAGAAGCTTGGAGGTTTAGTCATAAACTTTCTATTGAATCTTTCGCTTTAATGGTTCCTATCGTACATGTTTAGGTATTTATGAGAATCTAATTGAATAAGTCTAAAACATAAAACATTTATTTGGTATGCCATTTTCTTCCCTTAGGTCACTTAGGTTACCAGCCCTGTAATTGCTTTAAAAAAAATGCTATTTTTGGTAAGATCTCATAAAATATCAAAGCCTTAAATTTTCGAACTCCAAGACCAATATTTTCAAGTTTGTGGATCGCTTTCTCACATATTAGTTGATAAGAGTGTGCGAAGTAAATGGGAGAACCACACACTCTTTGTCGAGTGTTGTGAGATACATACACAACTTTGCTTTGCTAACGCTCTGAGGTGCTTTCCAGCCCTGCATTATAGAAGTATACACTCAAAGAATAAACCACATATCCAATGGAAAATATTCATTAGAATTTTAAATAGCTTATATGTGATATCATAATTGGGAATTGCACCACAAAATCACATGAACCTTATGTGTAAAATTAAATTTAAGTGATTTATCATATAGAACTCATGTGATCACATGAATGTTATGTGAAATTCAGATAGATATCATTGGTTTTGTTAATGTAAAACATTTTATGTGCATTCCCAATGGAAACTACATGAAAACGTGTTTTCGTGTACTAATTTATATATGTACATCGAGATGTTGCTCATATTAGAAAACAAATTCCTGTAAAAGCTCGGAAAGTTTTACTCAGTCTATGAGTTAACTACGTTTTCAAGAATATGAGTGAACTAATCTCAACTTTGAGGTGACCTCATTTGTCGTGGAATCGTAATTTAACTTTTTTTTTTTTAATAATAGCTTTTAACGTATACGGCGTAAATGGATGCATTCCCAACTCCACTTAGGTTCAATTCGTTAAAAGCAGGCACCTTACCCCCCCCCCCCCGACAACTTTTCAAAGTGCAAAAATCCTAGAATTAGAAAAATGAAGTCTCAACCATTTGATTAATCACAAGTTCGCAACCTTAAATTTCAAAGTTCGGCATTTCAAATATGTTTGCTAGTTTTGGAACTTGAAATCTTTTCACGTACCCTAATCTTCTCCTTAAGGGGGAGCCTCCATGTTCGGAATATTTAATTTTAAATAATACACCCTGAACCTTGCAGATTTATCTAAATTCAGGACCATATAATTTTCTATGCATAAAGTCTATGCCTCAGAATTTCTAATTTTCTTTCATAACTCTTTTGAATATCTTCTGAAGAACACTCTGAATTCACTCTGAAATGCTCTTCATATCAGGCATAACATTTGATAACGGCACAAAAGCTTTTGTAAACAAACCTTCTTAGGCCCTTTACACGCGAACCAAAGTACGCCCACGCAAACCAACAACATCATCGCATAGGGGCAACTATCACCTTTCCGTAAGTGGTATTGGTTTGCGTAGGCGTACTTTAGTTCGCGTGTAAAGGGCCTTAGAATGTTTGTTTACAAATGCTTTTGTGCCGTTTTCAAATGTTATGCCTGATATTATTAATAATTCTAGAACTTCCCCGAAAAATACTCCTGAAAAAAATCACTTGGAGTTCACCTCATCATACACTTACTTAGTATTCGCCTGAAATTCCCATGGAATTACCTTAGGAAATCCTGTTAAGTTCTTCTCGGAATTCCCTTTATTTTTTAATACTCCTCATAATTTCCTTGGAACTCTCTTTTGAATTTTCTAAAAAGTTTTCACCGGAATATCCTTGGAATACTCCTCAGAATTCATTAGAAATGTGCATCAACATAGGGGAATTGGATGTAATGTCGGCCTAAATGCCCCTAATTTGGGCCAATACATAAATTCAGCAATCGACTAAATTTTCAATAGCTACTAAAAATATCCATTAATACCGACCCAATGACGCGCTCATCTTGATAAAATTGATAAATCGCAGATTTTTAGCGATGGGCCCAATCTTAGATCCAGAGGCCAACATTAGAGTCATTTCCTCTATTTAGAATAGTTTTCATGATAAAATTGCCTCGTAGGTAGTGCTTACAGCTTATGCAGATTGAGAATACAGCTCTCAATATAAGTTGATGTGCAACAAGAAGTTGACGCACGTTTGAATCTTGAGAGTCTCATAAAGTGTTGTACTGTTTGTTCAGATCTTTGCACCTCATGAAGTGGGCAGAGTTGATTGCGTCGTTCTGTGACTATTATTGTTGTTGTTTTTATCTATTGGAAATTACATGCCTCTATCGCAGTCTTTTACAATTTGTTTCTTATTTCTCTTTGCTTTGCCTTGCTTAAAGTTGTTTGTTTTCTAATATAAATATAAAAAAATAATCGTACTGTAGATATGTTTCAAAACATTGTTTTTTTTTCCTTCAAATTTTACCATGATTCCAGGTTCGGTCTAGACATTTTTCGGGTTGGAAAATTTCTCGGCTTCCCTGGGCATACATTATAGTTGTACTTGCCATACAATTATACTAATGCAAAAATAGTACAGGCATCGAAAGCTCTCAATTAATAACTGTGGAAGTGCATCTAGAACACTAAGTTGAGAGCACGCAATAAGCTGATATGCCATACGCAATAAGCTTGAAATGCGAGGAGGAAGAAGAAGAATATTTAGCATTTTGTTTCTTCTTGAATATTACGTCCCAACTGGAACGACAACTTAGGGTAAAATTGGGGAAAATAGTAAGGGTTAAAACTTCTTACAAAGACGGAAACCCGACTTTCGATCCGAGGCCTGAATACCAATCGACTCAGTATTTTATGTCCTTTCACAGTTCTTAATTGGAAGTTTTCTTTTACATACGAATCCCTCAATAAAAAACTACGTGGAAGTCCTCAAAGGGCACTTCTGTGCCGAGGCGTAATGTTCCAGGGACGTAATATCCAAAAAAGAAGAAAAAATAGAACTTCCAAAGTAATGTGTACTATATTTGGTTGCCAGTGTCACTCAGATTCTTAAAAAAAAGGTGCTAATTACCATACCATACGTTGTGCATACAAATTTACCTTTTTTTTTGCATACGATTTGTTTACTTATCATTGATAGAATGTGCTATAGAATATGTTACCTTCCCCAACCCACGCACGAAATGAAAGGTAGCGTAAAGTACCCATCAATATGTAGGTATGACAATGCTCGCTAGAAATCAATAATAATCCAATATTCCAAAAAAGGCACACGTCACGTTCGATAACGACCGCCTCTTGCAAGATGTTGTTATTGCTGATGGCGATTTGGTCTCCGTACATGGTGAAAGCATCGGCTAGAATAATGACTTCGATTCAGTCGCGCAGCACAGTTACAATCGCAGCCGCGGCTGGTTTCAAGTGCGACCGAACCAAAGCAAAACATTATCGGACCCATTTGGCCTGACCCGCCCGCGTCGTATCTGCTTTTCATTATTACTATCCAATGGAGCGGGAGGCGGTCGGGCACACTAGGTGAGATAATTCACCGCAATTCCCCATCGTTCATCACTAACAGCCATCATTGTCACGCTTGGACTCTTGACAAACTGACGCGTCGCCGTTGTCGTTCCACATCCATTACCATAGTATGTACAGACGTTTGTTCTGTTGCCGCAAGTCATAAGTGCCAACGGTTGATTATCGAGTTATTGTATGAATTCAGTTTTATCTCAAATATGCTAATTGTTGCATTTTTCCTATCTTCTTTACAGATATTCCACCTGCGTGACATCCGCTGGGAACGGTCCCAGTTTCTGTCCAAAAGCTTTCTCGGCTTTCTTGCATTTAATCTGCTTCCGTATAGTCTGTTCCTGGCGGAGATCGCCTATTCGCATCTGTTCTCCGGCCGGAATACGCACTTCTTCAACGGTTGCTACGCGGCCCTGCTGCTCATTGTGGTCATCTTCTTCCTGATCTACGGTGTGGAGGTGTTTTTCAAGGTCAGTAGTGCATTTGCGTTCGGTGTCATTCAGTGAAAGTGATAAATATTATCATGTTGATTTGCGATCGTCCATCGATGATGACTGGAAACTGTGTCATGTTGTAAACGTGAAATTGCACTTCCTGAGTGCATTATTGTGTTATCAGGAGAATGTTTGGAGCATCTGTATTGCTTCGTTCAAAATGTGTAGAGGGGGTTCTTTCTGGTTGTTGGTGCCTGTTTGTTTCTTCTTGTTTTATTTCCTTCTTTGAAAATGCTTTATAGTTTTTGTTGAACCTACACTTGCGAAGCATGATAAGAATTTAAATTTGTATTTGATATTGATTTGTATTTTTTTTAATCAGGGGGGCCAGCAAACCGGAAAATCCGGGAATACCGGGAAGTATCCGGGAGTTTGAAAAGTAACCGGGAAAAACCCGGGAGTTCGGTGAGAGAACCGGGAAAAATAAATTAACCATACAATAGGATCAATTTTTACACCAGAATTTCAGAATACACCATTAAAACATAGTGATCCTTAACCAAATGAATGTCTTGCTCTATTTGCTGCATAATTTTCTTCAGTTTCCCTTCTTATTGTTTTTAGAATTTAATCACTCAGCAATATTACAAATTGATTTTTGTCGTTGCAATTTCAGATGTAAAGCGCATGGTCCTTAAAAGAAAATATTGAAGATGCTGGACTTTGGAAACAAAAATTTGTAAAAACCGAAACTGAATTATTCTTTTCCGGGGTTTTAATTTTGCGTTGTTCAAAATTCTCATGATATGAATTCCAGAATTCCAGAAGAATCCTGCTCTGAATTATCTTGAAATAGTTCTGAAATAAACCAGAAAACACTCCACGTATTAATTACCGTTGAATTCTTTTTGGAATTTCCTTGCAACCCCTTCTAAGAATTTAATTGAAATCTTTCTTAAAATTCTCTTGAGCCTATCCGGAGACTTTGATTCCTTTGAAAACCTTTTCCAAAATTTCTTTTAACTCTATTCAAAACAGCAGAAATCTGTCGAAATTTTATTTAGAAACCCCTTGGAGTATTTTAAAGAATTTCTTTCTAATTATCAGCAATTTTTTTGCAATCAATTTTGTTGGAGCTCTGTGATGAATCTTTTGCACTAGGGTTGAAATTATTGCCAAAACATTCTAAGAACTCTGTTTCTTGTTGAATTCTGATCATAATTTTCTTGGAATTCTTATTAAAATTTATCTGTCCTGTCATTTTCCTCATGATACTCATACAAATCTTCTCAGAATCACGTAGGAACTTTCCGTAAAGTTTGGTTTTTCACAACTCCTTTTTAAATCTTCTAAAATTACATAACAATTTAATTTTGCACTTGCATTCTTCTCCACAGAAATCCTTCCAAATTCACCCAACAATTTCTAGGGTTTTCATGTCATAATAATTCTGGAAATCTGCTCAGAACTTTTCCTTCGAAAACTGTGTGGGAATCCTTCTCAATATTTGTTTGAAATCAACACTTTAAATTATTTTAAATTTTACTAAAAATTCCAGAGTTTGTTCGCATGATTCTATAGATTGTAATGCAATTTGTTATAACTCTTAAAATGCGTGACCATTATGACTCATAAGTATGATATATTTTTTTTTTCAAATCTGTGATATTAATTTTTTTTCAAAATCTCACAATTTTAATTGTTTTCACTCCAAATCTCACATCACGAAGATTGTTGTTAATCAAAAATTTTGAAAAAAAAGTTCTAATTTCAGACACTACTCAAATTTTAAAGCCCTAGAATCTTGGGAATCTTCTTAAACCACATTTTTTATCCTTTCCGTAAATTCCTTTGAGCACGTTCCTAAAATTGCGTTCTATTTCGTTTTTTTGTTGAATATTAACAACCGGGATTTTTTAAAGATTTGAACCGGGAAAACCGGAGAAAAACCGGGAATTTCAAACTGAAAATTCACTGGCCGCCCTGTAAAATGGTAAATGTCTCTTTTTTGGAAAATGCTTCCAAGATTTTTGAAATGCATTCAATAGGTACGTAGCTTCTCAAGTTCTCAGGTCTAAAAAAAAGTTCTTCTTTGCCCATCATTACGTTTCTCAGGGTGGCCACTGAACCGAAAGAATCAAGAATTAACCGAATCGAAAACAAGTCAGAATTTGATTGGATCTTAAAATATTTTTGCATACTAATTTAGGTAGGTTGTGTGTACTAATTATGGCTATAAATTCCAATTATGGTCTATGGGATCCTCATTGGTTATAATTGGAACACACCATAATAGGAACGTATAGCCATGAGTGATGCATCTTCGCTATACAAGGCTGGTAGCTGCTCATTTTTAGTGACTTGGTCACTAATTTCAAGTCAGTCGCTTTTATCATCATAAGGTGGAAGATGCTAATTTCAAATAATATACTAAAGTGGTCATGTTTATAAGATAGATGAGGAGATGAAAGTATAGAGTTGATAGTTGCGTTAGAGTACGGCAGTGTGAATATTGTGTATAGCGAATAGAAAGTGAGCAAGGACAACTTTGAGGAAGGTACGAATCGGGTTGATCATCTCTCTTTACCAAACTCCCCCGTTGGAGAGGGATGGTGAGAAGTATCTACAGGTATCACAGAATCTTGAGATTCTTTTTAAGTCCATTAAATTGTATTGTATTTTTTCCCGTACCAGTACCGGTACCAGTAATACGGAAAGAATAAAATTCTAAGTCCAGTCATAGAAAAAAAATGTAGGGGAAATGGACGTAATGTCGGCCTAAATGCCCCTAATTTGGGCCCATATATAATATCAATAATCGAGTAAATTTGCAATAGTGACCAAAAATTTCCATTAGTACCGTCCCAATGACGCGTTCATCTAGATAACATTGATAAATAGCAGATTTTTAGCGATGGGCCCAATCTTAGATCCATAGCCCAACATTAGAGCCATTTCCCCTATGTCTATTATCATAAATTTATAACTATGTTTCAGGAGCATTTCAATGTTTCGAGGACTGTAAACATAGGGGAAATGGATGTAATGTCGGCCTAAATGCCCCTTATTTGGGCCCATACATAAATTCAGCAATAGACAACATTTTCAATAGCGACCAAAATATTCATTAGTACCGTCCTATGCGTTCATCTAAATAAAATTGATAAATAGCTGATTTTTAGCGATGAGCCCTATATAATATATATCCCTAAATCCCCAATTTTTAACGATCGAAATTTTAAGTCCTAGACGCACTCTAATTTGTTTTATGTCCGTGATCCTTCCATCTGGAAAAAATTTCCTCGTTCCATAATAATGAGATTTTTTTCTTAGAGTGGTCTAGGTCCCAGAGTTATGAAAATATTTCCATGTTTGAGGTGTTACAGAAGATTCTATTCTAGGGAGGAATGGAGCAAAGTAAAAAGACGATCAGTCCGTTATAGCGGCTACAAAGAAGAGGTCGATCTTTTTAGTAAAATCTACACACTATAAATCAATGAAGATGCATGATAGTCTAGTCGCATAGGAGTATTGAGCGAAACCCCAAAACTTGATAACTTAAAAAATATATATCCCTAAAACAAAAACAAAAAAGCCTAAATTTTCAAGGAAAAGTATAAAAAAATATTGCGCCTTCTGTCTACAAACCATGAAAACCATATAAAAAAACAAATACAATCGATGTTTTTCAATTCAAATTCCTATTTTTCAACATCATTATATTTTTCCTAAAAGTATTTTTAATTACCTTTCATTTGATATTTTGATGTTTGAAGTCGGCACAATTATCAATTTAGGTGGAAGGATATGTTTTGACACTAAATGTTCAAATATTGAAACAAATATACTAGCACAAAACAACTGTTTTTTTTTCAGAGACACCCTCACTCGAAAATAGCTCTAAATCGGTCAATTTAGGAGATACATAAAAGTTGCTTGAAATTAGCTCAGCTATAACTTTTCCAAAAAATGTATACCTTAATTTCTACAAACAAACAAACAAACAAACAAAAAGTTTTGATTTCAATGATAATAAGAACCACCCTAGAATTCATTGTCATACAAATGAGAACCTAACTATAAGGAACAACATAGTAGAAGAGACTTTTAGCGAAGACTACATATCAAGAAGACTGGCAACTCTTCAATTTTCTCATACGACCGCTATGAGACCGGCACAGTCGCGTCGTCTGCCGTGCCAAAGGTAAATGCTTCGAACGAATTTGATAGCAAATATTACAACCTCAGAAGAAAGGTTTGTGTATTTGTTCATTTCTCTGTGTGTTACTTCCGCTAAGCGCTACTGTATCTGTCGCTTGGATTCTGGCAGAGTTGCCAGTCTTCTTGATTTGATGTCTTCGCTTTTAGTCTAAAGTTTCAACTTCAGGCTCAAAACATATCCTTCCACCTAAATCTGCATTCTGGACCACTGTGCAATGGTTCAAAAGTTATAAAATTTTGAAAAAAGTTATTTAAAAAATATTTGTTTTGGTCACCCTAATGACAAAATAAAAAAATACAAATCTAATATTTTGCGATAAGGTTAAAACCTACAAATTTTTACGAAATTCGGATAACCACTATATCGCTTTTGCTGTAGAATAAATTGTAACTAGGGGCTGTTAATAAACCACTTAGACACTAGGGAAGGAGGATGGCGAGGATTGGTGATTGTCTACAGTCCATAAAAGTTACAAAAAAAAAAAAAAAAAAAAAAAAATTACGCTTGTCTACGCATGGGATGGAGGAAGGTGGTCTACAACCTAAATGAAATAATTCTGCCATAAGTGATTTCTAAATTTATTTACATTTTCCCTTCCAACGGTACAATTTGATAAAAAGCCACACATTGTTGGGATATTGTAAAAAATCTTAAAATTTATAACAAACACTAAAGCCACGCAGTGAGATAATTCCGAACTAAACTGTGGATCTCAAGATGTCAATATACACGAAATTTATAATAACACTAGTGCCACCTAGTGACAGAACTCTGAGCTGAGCTGTCCTAAATTCAAAAGGTCTTAGCCTCCTGA